GTCACATGAACTATATTCAAGTAACACCTCAGGAAAAAGAAGCTATAGAAAGGGTGAGTTGAACATATTTATTATTTCCTCAAACCCAATTTTCTCCCTATTTCTTAAGTTCAAAGATTAAGTAATCCTTACATAGCCAAAATCTACATAAAGTACTTGTAGAAGTCATGATGACATTCTCTCCTGTTATAAATTAAGGCTTCAGGATGGTCTTTGGAGGGTTAAGAGTTTGCTGCTTCAGGGCGTCTAGCAGTTGGGAGTTTTACATTTTTAATATAGCAATCTTAGGTTTTGCTGTGAGTGATTGTTGCTGAAAGTATAACATTGCATGTGTCCTTTGGCTATAGGGCCACATAAATTCAGTTTATGATTCAACACAGACCATATATTTATGATCTCCACATTTTTTTTTCAATTTCTTCTGCTCTCCTCATAAAATAAATAATAGTAGGTTTCTTTCCCCCAGTATTTGAAGTGTTCATTAGATAAAGTGGTTTCTTTTCCCCAGTATTTGAAGTGTTCATTAGATAAAGTGGCTAGAAACCAGGAATCTGTGAGTTCTAGTCCTACCTTAGACATAAAATCCAGCCAAACCACCTTGAACCAGTCACGCATTCTCAGCCCAATCCAGCTCACAGGAGGGTTGTGGGGAAAATAAGAGGAGGAAGGATACTTTGTATGTTCACTGCGTTGAGTTACTTATAAAAATAATAAAGCCAGAAAATGAATATTAAAATTAGGAGGATACGTAGCCCATACCTATTAGTTGTAATATGCAATTACAAGTATATGTGCCATATATCCAAGTTCATTATTTTGTTTCATGTTAACATTTAGGTTTAGTTGAAAGATGAACTTATTTATTCTTGATTTTCAAATTTATACATTTAATCAATATATTTAAATAATTTTTGCATAGTCAACCAGAGCTTCAGGCTCACCATTCAATGCAGTTGAGCCATATGAAGATTTTAGTGTAACAAATTTGTATCTGCAACAATTGTGTCATGCATCAGGACTGATATTGCCAACTTAGCATTTAAAATACTAATCTTTAATACTTGGTCTATTAATACTAATACTTTAATACTTGACAAAGAAGCTTATGCTATAAATGTGAATTCTAATAGCCTTTTCTTTCCTATAGTTAAAGGCCCTAGGATTTCCTGAAGGACTTGTGATACAAGCATATTTTGCATGTGAGAAGAATGAAAATTTGGCAGCCAATTTCCTTCTACAGCAGAACTTTGATGAAGATTGAAAAGGAGAGACTTTTAAAATCTCACACATCACACCAGTGCATTTACACTAGCTATTCACTGGATTGTCTGGGATACTTGGGCTCATATCCATGATACTTGGTGTAAGGGGGAAGGGGAGTGGGAATTGGGAGAAGAGAGGAAAATATAGAAAGGATACAGGAAAAGACAAGCACATCTGTTTTAAAACAGCAGATGCAGCAGATCAAAATGTAAAATACTATACACCAAAAATTAGCTTTTTTTGCAGATATTTAGTTCCTTCTATAAAATTATATGTTCATGCTCCCCCCACCCCCCCCAATTTTCACTCCTTTAGTATACTAGGTCCCAAAATTAGCTGCTTTTGTTTCTTTTTAAATAACATTGGTCTTGGAAATAGCAAAGACTACCTAGAATCAACAGTCTGTATTTCATGGTAACACTGGATGACGGCTTCATAAATTTAAGATAAAATATATTTGAGTAACTTTTAAAAACATATGCCAAAAATAGTAGGTGGTGGGGTTTTGCTGCTTCAGATGTATCTAATTTTTGCAGGATGCCCATTATTTCTTGCTGAAGTGCTAGATCTAAACCACTTATTGTTTTAGATTCTGGATCATTGATTTGAGAGAACTTTTCCTATTCCCTATCCCTTTGCTCCTTTCATAATAATAATAAATAGACTGACTATATACACATAGGAAACAGTTGGAGCAAATGCCAGATAACCTAATTACTGCTTACTTTAAGATTGGGTTATAGTAAATCTTTTTTTGAAAAAGAAAAGCAAACAGCTGTCTTTGCATGTTTTTGGGTTTGATGTATCCCTTTTTGTGAATTGAGCACTTTTTATTGCCAATGAAGAAAATGTAAACTCTCCAATCTAGTGAAAGTATTTATGAAGAAATCAGATTGCATCCTACCTATATTTTGTTGAAAGTCAAAACTGATCTGATGAATACAGCTGCAAGTATTTCAAACCTAGGTGTCTTTAAATGCTTGTAATCTTATAGTTTCAATCTCTGGGCCTCTAAAGGCTATTGTCATTTGTATGCTTTAATAAGGACTGTCCAGTAACTTGCCTTCTCTTCTGTTTAAAAGCATTGTGAAACATTTTACTCTTGAAGACATGTTCAGAAAGTGGAAAAAAAATAGATGAACAATCAAGTTATTGGATCTCTAAAGATTATGCACATCCCCTTTTACTTCCTATTAAAAGTAACATTTAATTGTAAGGTTGTGAGTATTATTTATTATTAATGAGGGAGAAGGAAGGACGGGATGGGATGGATTTTTGTACAGTGACTCCAAATAACTTATGTACTGCCATACTATTGCTGGAAGATAATATAACACTCTCATCAGAAAAGAACAGTTTAGGGATTAAATACGGCTTCCTCAACAACGCCTATTTGTACAATTGCCAAATCATAAATTTGTACAGTGATGGATAATTAATTGGATTAGCTACTAGTATACATATTTTGACCTTTAATGGGAAGCCAACTGCATAGAATGTTCTCCTGTCATGGTGCCTTGCTTAAATTGTCTGAGGTTAGGCAGAATGATAGGAACAAAATGCTAGAGCTCAAACCAATGCTATTTCAGCGTGGAATTTTATTAGTTTTTCACTTGCTTTTACTGTCAAAAACACCTTGAACTTTTACATATATAAACTGCTTCATTTAAAAGCCTCTAAATTCTATAACAGATCCAATTAATTAAATATGCAAGGGATACGCGTATTAATCAAATATTCAAAATACCACACAAACTTCACCAGCATCCAAGCTATAATCTAAGAAATGTGTTTCATTGAGGAGATCTTGGGAAGACTTGGATATGTAGGAAGGTTAACACCAGTGACTCTGTATATAAGAATAATAGTAATAATTTAATTAAATAATTGCTCCCTTGTTTCCAAAGAATGCATGTTCAAGAAATACCATCTAGAAACAAGAAAGATTAAGCAAGCAGTGGACATCATAAAGCAGAAAATAACTACAGCCAAGAAGATTAGATATGAAGCTCAAATTGCACACTAGGCCCAATCACCCAATTTCAGTTGAATCAGAAATGTTTCTACCAATCCAGCAATGGAGACAATGCAATGAACCAACCAACACCAGACAAGCTGCAGTTCTGTGTGGTTCTTGTAAAAGTAATGATCTCTAGAAAATAATTTTGCAATAATGTGGGTTATATATATTACAATTGCTATTATGTATACATTTGAATAGAACATAGAACAGATTCAGCTCCACATTTGTACGTATATGTTCAGATTTCCATCTGGAGATTGAAATACCTTCCAGTTGTCACCTAATGGGAGAGTGGATTAATTTGGGGCAGACAAAAACGCTGTTTAGGCAGAGTAGGCAGTTCTTTAAAAAAGAAAAAAGCTACGAAGAGCCTAGGAGGACAAGGTAATTTTACTAAAATAAAGATGGAAAAATTTGGCTCTTACCTGACTAGAGTTACCAGATCCCTGACAAACAGAAAGACACAGAAAACTGGAAAGGAGAATAAACGGGAATGGAAGAGGCACTACAATAACTTTGGAACTTTCTTGCAACAGAAATTACAGCAAAAAATGTATTTTGGCCTGCATTTGTATTGGATTACTTTTTCTAGCCTCACTAAAACTGGTGTTTTAATTGCAATATTTTGCAACAAATATTTTCAAGAATATATGCTAGCAATAATGTAGAATTGCCAACAACATTTTTTGAATTTTGCCATAGAAATGTCTAATGGGTTGTGATCTTCAGGCTACATTGATTGTAGATTTGAAGAGGCTGGATTGAAATTGAAGGCTAGAATCAAAAAATCTAGGATGTTGAGTCTGTTCACCAACAGGGAAAGAAGCAATTTACAAAGTCCCAATATAGAAAAGATTGAATGGCTGTGATTGTGAAAATAATCCAATTAAAAAACCGCTCAAGAATCTAGACATTTGAATTTAAATCCATGCCTCCTGGATGGAAGCACGTCATCCTTTTTGCTGAACTCTAAGCCAAAATGAATATATGAGCTTTTTTGAATCCTGCCAAAGTTTTATCAAGGTTCAAAGTAAAGGTGGTGTTGGGAGACCACAATATATCAAATCTTAATTTTCCTTTGCAGGCTGGATAGAAATCTTATTCAGGGTACGGCCAAATCTTTTGAAACATTCTCTAAGGCAGGGCTGTCAAATTCGTGGCCCGGTGGCCGGATGTGTCACGCGCTGACCACGCCCACACCCAGTTTAGCGAAGGGAGAAAAGTTGTGATACGTCACGTGACACTGACGTGATGACACGAGTTTGACACTCCTGCTCTAAGGCATTCAACAAACATGATACCAGAATCTTGTTGAATTATTCAATTATTAAATTTCATCTTAAGATCATAAGAAAAGCACTTGGTCTTAATTTATCCCCCTTTATTTTTCCTTTTTAGTCTCTGCATGATATAACCAATAAAGATTGCATTAAAGAACTATATAATTTTTTTGGCTTGACTGCATTGCGTCAGTTCAGCTGGTGTGATTTGTAAATTGTGGCTCATGGTTGTGTGAACTGATTCCATAGTGGCTTATTCAACAAAATACTGTTAAAACAAATATAGAGTGAAGTTTTGAAACATCTTGAATCCGCATAGGGCTAGAGATTTGATAAGAGAATAGCAGACTATTTCTATGGATCCTAGATGCATGTGGCAAAGTATCTGGGTTATTACTCACTATAAGGTAGCTTCCCTGTCATGTAAGAGTGACATGGATTTTTCTAAGTAAGCTAAATATGTTTTTGGGATGGTTTATAACGTTCCAGCAAGAAAGGCTGTTCCCCTTCCTGATGAACTGGTGCTCAGGTTTGATACAACTGCCGTTTGGAAGATCTAGTTCTATAATTTCTCAGCCTTCCATCCTTCTGAGGTAGGTAAAATGAGGACCCAGATTGTTGTGGGGGCCATATGCTGACTCTATAAACCACTTAGGGCTGTAAAGCACTGAAGCGGTATAAAAGTCTAAGTGCTATTCCTATTTATGAGTGAGCCCTGTATTACTTACAAAAAGTAGCTACAGTACTAACAGTCAATCTTTCTCCCATGGTAGTAATTTTGGGAAAGAATGACCATTTCCCCTTTATAATTGTCCATATACAATCCATGTCTGTAAGTTCAGAAGTTGCAAATAACATCAGGTCTCCAAGGTGGGGCATGGGAGGAGTCACTGTATGGGTATTGTTACGGCCCAATTGCCTGGAGACTGAGGAAATCTGAGGTCACACCCCCTGTTCCTCCNCCACTTACAGCAACAAAGCCAGCACTCCACACACCCCTACCAATATTTATAGAAAGACGGCAGCTTCGATCATGCTTTGCTCACACAAGCACGAAGCCGAAAACACCAGCCTAAAGATGGCAAGTGGGACCTCGCCGAAATGTTGCCAAGACAACCTCAATCTTACATGGGAAAAGACCCGAATGCAACAAGACCAGCATACTTACACCTGTGAAAATCTATGAAAACACGCACACACACACGTGTGTGTTTGTGTGTCTGTGTCTGTGTGTATGTGTATGTGTATAACAAAAAGAGACAAGTGTTCTTCTCTGTAAGAACTGCCTATTAAGAGAAGGTATTTCTTTTTCTGTTTTTGTGTTCTGTCTTGTCATTCTTTGGTCCATCGGCATTGGATTATAACCCAATTATAATCCATTATAATTATAACTTTTAAAACTAAACAGTTGTTGTGCTGTTCATTTTATGACAGGTTCACACACAATATTTTGTACCCAAACCTTTGCAGTAGGACCTATACATAGCTGGTTTTTGCCAGTCACATTTTACAGGAGAAGATTGATTGAGGAAGATTACTTTAGTGTATAATGCTTTTAGGAATAGTATAAGCATAATCTAAATGCAGACGCACACATTGAAAAGTCTGTTTCTTCATTCTGCATCATATTTCCTTCCAATCAGACATGGGTAAGGACTGGATGTAGCAGGAGTATAAGCGTTCAGGATAACCAGCAGCATTTGCCAGGGTCCAAATTTTCAGACTTTGGGACAGGTTAAGGATGTGGTTTATACAAATGTAATAAATTATTATCATTCTTTTAAAGAACTCTAAAATTTCCTTCACAAAAATGTCATTGCCCGGTCCAATTTTGGATGTAACTTTTGACACCACTCAAATTCATACACACTTCTGAATTAAACCAATAGATGCAAGAAATACCAAAATGGAATATATCCCATTGGTGTTAAATTCTGGATTATCCTAGCTTTAAACTTGTCAATTGATAAAAATGTGTTTTAATACTCAGAAATACTGGATGATGTAAAGGTTTTTTTAATGCAAAATAAAAGTAGCATCTAAAAATTCAACACTCTATTTTTCTTGGCCTACCACTGATTCTGCTAAGAGTTCTGGATTCAGTTATACACACACTAATTCAGGCGGAAACACAAGCTATTGCCCATTAATTTCAGAGATTGCCAAAAGTCCTAATTTGGTATCCTTTCTTTTATCTGCATTTATATTATATATGTAATGATCTCCAAGATCTTTTCTGACCTTTACATTATATGATTTTATGATGTCACATTCTTCACTTCAAGGACAACAATCTGAGTCCTCATTTTATCAATGGAACACTGAGTCAACCTTGAGCCAGTCAGGATCGAACTGTTGTCAGTGAGCAGTGAATTAGCCTGCAGTACTGCATTCTAACCATTGCACCACCAAGGCCCTTGATAAACTTAATTGTAAACGTAACACAATGGTATATCAGTCCAAAGAAATACCTTTGGGTCTGCTTCCCAACATTGGAGCATCAATTCTGCAAAGCTCCCAGGACAGCTGCTTGGAATGGTCAGTCTCTGAAATAGAAGGAAGAAAGTAGTGAACATAAATCAAGGGTGTCAAACTGGCAGCCCATGGGCCAGATGCATCACGCACAGCCCACGCCCACTCCAGCTCCGCAAATGAGAAAAACATCACAAAACATCATGTGATGGCAACATAATTCAGCAAGTTTCACACCTGGGACATAAATGAAGAACCTATCATCAATCCATACACTTTCAAATTTTAGAAAATGTAAAATATGAAGAAGATCTTCGTATTTTACCAGGGTGCAATAGAACTAAAAATAGATCAGAGCTTGCCGTAAAAACAGAACAGAGCAGAGGACATCATACTAAAATGCCGATGCCTGAAAGGAGATGGTGACAGTATACCAAGCTATTATTTTCCCAAGAGGTTGAGAAGCAATAAGATCAAACGATCACTGCTGCTAAGATAAACACTACACATGTTGTATTGTATACTCTTCTGTTTTGTGTGAAATGACATATGTACATAGCCAGGTTTACCTGCACCATTGACGCAAGGTATTTTTTAAAGATATGAGAAGGGGTATATAAACTGAATGAATAAATAAACAACAGCAATTTCGGTCTTTGTAACACTCGGTTTTCAAATGCCAAAAATATGGATGCACTCCAAAAAACCTTGATCGTACGGTTATATTACGGGGAAAAAACCCTTCCTAAATCTATTACCATTATGGGAAAAATAATACTGTATAACTTTTTTTTTAGGGAAAGGTTTTTAGAACTATATCCCTGTAATGACTACAAATCTTTTAAAATTACATTACATTTCTCTTGCTTTCATACCCAATATAGCACGTAGTATGTATAGCTATTTTCACAAGGTTTTAAAGAATCTAAATTTCTGAATCACTCCTGAAATATTCTTGCTTACTTTGATTCACCTTAAACCCATCTTTCTTTTGTTAGAGCACATTCAATACTTCTTCATTGGTTGTTTTCTACACTGTTTTGAAAACAAATGAGATGGTGCGCTTTGGACTACACAGTACAAGCTAAAGCGTGTCTCCGCTATTCAAAATAACAGCCTACAGGTTTTCATGCCTCCACATAAACCTGGAAAAAATGCAGATACGTTGAGAGTACAATGAGTCAGCTCCTTAAAGTAGCAGCATTTTTTTTTTCTGGTTTCCACAGAAGACTGAAAACAGCAGTCTGCTTTAATGAAGACTAGTAAGATGCCATGCTTACATAAGTCCTAAGGAGCTTCTCTGAATCATTTTCAAAGAATGCATAGCCCTATTAATTATTTAAAATAAGTGTTAAATGATGTTAAGAGGTCTTGTGATCCACATCCTACTTAAAATAATCATTCCAATTTAAATATGTATAGTAATTATCATGTCAAGTTAACCATAAAGCATTCTAGCATTTAAATGATGAATTAACGTCATAAAAATCCAGTTTATACTGGCCAACAGAGTACAAGATTAGGAAAGACTGTGATGGGAAAAAAAGGCAAGTACTAACCAAAAAATGGATGATAAATAACAAAACAACAATATCTGCTTATTGGAGATAAACCCCCAACTCCCTATCAGAATCAAAAACTTGTTATTTAAAACTAAAGCTTAACAGGAATATATTAGTGCGTTAATTACAGTTTTCTGATAACTAGAATGTCTGCATATTTGTTACTATGTTATTGATAATAAAGGAAATGCCACGATAAGAAGAATAATTGTATCACTGTTGCTGATAGAAAAAGATAACTGTTAATATCTTCATCTATAGGATGAAGACAGGAAAAATTACAGCTAATTCTGTGGATTAACAGAAGGATATAATTATAAAAAATAGTTACAGTTTCTCACAACTCTGCTTAGTGGTTAAAATGACACTTTTCAAAGAAGCATATAAAGTAAGTTAAATAAAATATATCACTGTATTTGTATACATACTAAGTATTGCAAAACCTTATAGCTGTTGTGCTCCAAACAGATGTTATTTTAAAAAAGAAAACCAAGAAGATATGCTAAGAAAATGGAAAACAGGAAAGAAGAAATGTACACAATAGTCATGTAATATTAGAAATCCTTAAATCATGAATATTATAAATGCTATCAGAAGTCAAATCTTTTGGCATAAACAAAACAGCATTGACACTTGATATTCAAGTAGGTCATTTCACTAAAAATACACCTAGCCATGGCATTTGTCTCTCACCCTCATAGTTCCAGAGATGGAAAATGAGTTACTAAACTCATTACTTACATATAACTTGCTGGAATAGAATGTTATTCATCGGGTAGACCCTTAAGACAGTCATAGTCTAATAAAAGTGGCATGTCTTAATAATGTGATATTAATTTTATTTGATATTAAATAAAATCTCCTTTGACAGAATGTATATCTCTAATAAAGAACCTGAGATTATCAAGGAAACAATAATAAAAGATATGGGCATGGTATAGGAGATGTAATTCTCTACTCAGGAATAACTCTTACCCAGTACTATACCATGTGACTTATATATGAGTAGCACCTGCAGACTTAATGATCTCTGATTTAAAAGCTAGTATAATTTAAATGGACATATACTGAACCAAAACTCTTTGTTCAAATCTCTAACTATGAATTTCATCTAGACTCTAAATAAGTCTTTGACAGAATAGAAGTCTCTATAGATAGCCCTTCGTATCTTTCAGGTTTTTATGCACTTTTTTGGAATAAGGGTGGACTTCCATTGTCTTTAAGTGTCTTATAGGTTACATCTGCTCTAAGTTTCCAAAGAATAGAATTCTCCCAAGGACTAAATAGGAGAATCACTGTTTTTCTTTACAGTGTAAATTCAATGCAATTAATTATGAGGTGGTGGAGTCAATATGTCATATCATAAGTCATGTTTTAGGCCCATTAAAATCAAGTTAATTATAGTGAATTTAGTGCCATTGATTTCAATGGAACTAAAGCATGACTAACTTACTTAGAATTGAAGACATACTTTGCAGAGTGACAATTCACTGGGAGGCTAGTGCCTCAGACATTGAACCATTTTATTAGGGCTTATTTTAATGTCACAAAGAATATATACTGTAGATATTTCATGTTTTTTGCAGCACAAAAAAATGAAATCAATTTTTTAAAAAGCATACACAGTATAATAACTTTTTGCTATGATACTATTTCTATATTTACTGTGTTATTCTACTGAACCTATAAGCACTTCAGTTGTAGCCACTGCTATTCCTCTTAATATTTTTGACTTTTTCGAAGCATTGATGACCAACTAATATGTTTAATTTGGGTTGGATTGTACCCAGTTTAAGGAAACTAACGTGAAGTGGCAGAATTGACCTAGTATTTATATATTTGTTACATACCAAAATCTTGTATCCAACTATAAGATCAGAGCGTTGATCTAGATGGGGAAGTTTCTTGCTTAATGCTTGTCTATTGGCTGGGATGAGGCTATTTTGATGAAATCAAATAAAACTTTCCTCATGCTTAAAAAATAAGAACGATACTGGCTACATCTTATTATTTCAAGATTAACAGATAAAAATTTAGAGCGAGTGACAGAACATCCAAACTAAATTGGTTATTCCACATTGATTCACAGATATCACAGGCCTTCTATACTTCAGAAAGAATATTTAAAAGTGAGAATGTCATGTTTTACATTAATTCCTTCCTGTTTTTTTAAACATGAGAATTAAATCTATTGTATGTAAAGACTTTTACAATATATTAGGGGAGCCAGCAATAAAAACAAAGAAACCAAGAAGTCATACTACAAAATTGCCTAAGTTATTTTATAATGGTACCCAACCTTCCAGCCAACTTAGACAGAGGAGGAATCGTAAATGTTGTCTGCATGCAATAAAGCCACCACGCTATTTCTTCTTTAAAACGACACTTCCTGTCTTTGATACTAAAGAGACCATGTGTTCAAATATGCACTCCCATGTTCAACTATCTAAAAGCTCCAATTTGTAGCCGGAAGAAAAGCAACACTGGGGACACGTACAAAGGGTGTTTACGCCACTGAAGTCCTTTTGAAGTGGAAAGACACGGCATGGAGGAGGCTTGCAACTATGGCATAGCCTTACCAGTTCCACTGAGAAGCTCATCTTCAATGGACTGAGGAACGTGGGTGGCAAAACTGTAATTTTCTTCTTTTTAAACTATTTTTATCTTCTTTTATTTTTGAAATCCTCATCTAAGTGGCAGTTTCTTGTATTATAGTGACTCCTGCTGGGAGAGTTAAGTTGAAGTAGCTGAAGGTCTCTTACAGATAGATCAACTCCCGGCCAGTATAAAGATGTCCTAAATGCAGGAGATGGAGTTAAACTGTTCTCCTACCTTGGACGCAATGGCTTCTTTCATCCCTAAGAACAAACCCCCAGGTTTTACAATTGAGACTGAGAAGCTAGTACAGTACTTGTATAATTTTTGATCTACAGCATCACGACGTGAAGCTGCAACAATTAGATGTAAAGGGTCCATTCATGAGGAATAACATCACTTTGACCCTTTGTGTTAGCTCCTACTGCTAATCTTTCCATACGCGTGAACTTACTTTCAATTTGAGGAAGATGAAAAAGTCTTTTGCAAAACCCAACACTGTTTTCTGATCTATGTACCTGAATGTAGAAACGTAGTCTTACCTCGTTTTTTTCCACTACAAGCCAAGCTACTTGTAATCCTTCCAAGCCTTTAAAGGGGACTTCCCTTGTTAGCATCTCCCAGAGAACCTGGAATGTGGAAAAAAAGAAAAATGATTTTATTACTGTATTTTGTATTTTAAATATATTATTAAACCTTGGTGCACTGTGATCTGTATCCAATTACTAGGCAATCAAAGCTCATTAGCTAAAACTTGGATATATGTTTGTGCTTAAGGGAATTACACAAATTCGACATTGAATATTTCTTATTTTTAATAATGAACCCTTATTTAACAAATACTGATAGAGAGCCGGGGACTGGACTTTGTGAATATTGTTTTGTACCTCCACTGTTCGATGGTTGAGATAGTCAAGAAATAGAGTTCTTGTTTTCAACTACAAATACTAGAAAATGTTTCTGGAACGTACTCTGACTTGTACTTTAAACTAGAGTCTTTGGGTTTATTCTTTCTAAAGTTAAGTCTAAAATTTAAAAAATAGTTATTATAGCAAATAGATATGTAAGCAACAAAATAGCTTCCATCTTTCAACTATTTCAGTGTTAATACCAACTTTCTACAAATATTTTATTCTTAATTATATTGCATACTTAGCCAAATAACAGACATATAAATTTACTTTACGGTACAGTATGATCTCAGCTAATTTTATTTGGATGATATTCCACCATTATATCAAAGGATAATATAATTGGTTATGTCAAAAAGAGCAATAATCTTTTTTCCAGGCAAGCAGTTATATTTACAAAAGTAACTGCCTCTCTTGACTTCCCAAGGCATATTTCTATTGATCTGTGTTGGAAAACACATTATTTAGCTGAAGTAAATATATTTTCTATTTGATATTGATCCTATTGATATTTTCTAACAAAGTAACGATCTGGCTAAGAATTCCAGAGATCAATATTCTCCCATTAAGTATTTAAAATTCTTAACTTGTGGTTCACATTTGGGATTAGTTGGGTGGACTACTTTTTAAAAAAGGTAATTAATAACTTATTGCCAGATGTTGCCCATTTATATAAGCAGTGGTGGGTTCCTAACCATTTTACTACCGGTTCTCTCAGAGAGGGCGTTTTGCGCATGTGCAGAAACATGCTGGTGATGGAAGAAGAGACCGGAGAACTGGTTGTGGTTCCAGCAACCCAGGCCACCAAACCACTACAGGTTCGGCTGAACTGATCCAAACCAGTGGGAACCCACCACTGTGTAGTGGGGGGGGGGGGGAATCCTTGATGTTGAGGCAGGCTTTCAGTTGCAGGAGGTACCACAGCACCTTAGGGATTAAATAGACCTGATTAAGTCATAAAACTATAAAAGTTTATTACTTAAAAAAAAGTTATGCTGAGGACATAACAATGGAGACAGGGACTACTGTATCCTGTTTTAAAGAATTGTTGTCTGAAGTAAAAGGAAACAGAAAAATTCTTCTGTGTTGTGATTATCTGGCCAAGCCCAGGAAGAACCTTTCTTTTCATCATCTTAGCTTTATCCTTTTTCTTCTGTCACACATATAGAAAAATGTCCAGATTAACCAAGTGGGTTTACATGTTGTAACTATTATTTATTTTTTAGGTTTAGATATATATCCCAACTTGATTTTATACAGCTAACTCATGGCTACCTATTTTTCTGTTATGGGAAGGAGGGAGCAGTTTTACAATTACATAAATAATAAATGGGAATGCAATTGCAGTAGGATGATTAAATGATTTCTGAAAGGGACAGCTATGACAGATCGAATAAAGAAAACTATAGATATTAGTTATGAACTTGCTTCAAATTCAGCCACAGTTAAGTCATTTTAAAAAATATCTATATGGTTCACAAGAATATTTTGGCCAGCATAGCTGGAATATCCCAAACTTTACTGTCACTCTCAATCACGGCTGCTAACTATAATTCATTAAGAAATATAGACATTTTGCACAACTAAACAACAAACCTAACACTTCCGTTTTAAAAAAGGGCACCACGTTAAAGAAATTTGCATCATACCCAAGGTGACATATGTACATTATTACTCAGTGTCATGATATATTTTCAGGTGGTTGTTATTTCAAAACTTGAAGCCTGCTATAGTAAATATATGCTATACACATTGTATTTATTTATTTAAATTTATTGGTTGCCCAACTCCAATGGACCTTGGAACAGATATATGTGTTGGTGCAAATTTTACTGGGCTTACATTTGAGCTGTATAACTCTCAGGTCAGGTAAAAGACTACGTTAACTTCCTCCTACTATAAAGTTCCATGTCTAGGGCAATAAAACAGTAAGTTAGATTATATTAAACATTTTAGGAGGCAACAGATATTTATAATTAGATAGATTATAAATCTTAAATCTGAATTCAGTTTTGGATCATTTTCATATAACAGAAGATTCTGACTAAAAGCCTGTTTACTTTTTAAAATTTGATTTATTTCAGGAGACTGTGGCTTACTTCCAAATAAAAGGATATGGAACCTGAGACTCTCTATTCCAGCTTCATGAAATAATTTGTAAAGGTCAGAAAATTATAAATGGGTACAACAATCGCCTTTCCTCATGTTTTTGTGACTTCTTAACAAAGGACAAGTTCAACCTGACCAAGAAAACCTGGACTTTTAGGTGGACATCATACTGAAGTGGAAAAATGCTTCATTGTACATTGTAAGCAATGTAATAGTTTAATGAATACAATCCATTCTGGCAGAGAAAATAATAAATAAAAGAAATGCTACAGATTCTGCCAATAGAACAGTATTTCTCAACATCTTAGTGGTTTACATTTGAAAAGGATTCTACTCTTTGTTATCACAATTTCAGCTGTGTTTCAAATGATGAAAAGCAGATGTCTGTGCAAGCACAAAAGCCATTTGTTAGCGCTCTAGATTGTGTTACTTGACCATTCAAAACTTTTATTTACGGATGAGATTGTTTTAAATCAAAAAGTGCCACATTTTTCATGGATTCATTATCTTTGGAGAACACTGTTAGTCTGCTTGATTAGAAGTTGAAAGCCTACAGGGAAAAAAAAATCTCGATAAAAAATCAACAGTGAGGAGAATCAATACTAATGTGCTTAACTTTACTTGAACAGATTTCAAGAGTAGAATTTAAAATGTGCAGAAGTAAAAACACACGTCTGACAGGGCTTTCTCCTCCTAAATTCCTTCTGAATCTACCCTCCCCTTCTAAAAATTGTGCTTTAGAAGAAACAGATTTTGAGATCGCACAAAGGACTGGGAATTCACTCATTTCTGTCCCATTGACGGTAGCAAGGGAACAACTTAATTAGATTGTTATTTATCTATAAACATTTAACTCTGAGCCAAACTGCAATTATTTCCAAATTTCATTCTCTCCCTAAATGTTTCAAGCTTTTTCCATTATTTAAGATGCAGAACACCAAGCTGGGATGGAGTGGAGGGGATATTGCAGGCTTTGAAACTGTGTGTATGTGCCTGAAACGTATAACTGTTATTCAACTCCTTTATTTTAATCCTGGGGTGTCTGATATACCTGCAATACATGTGGCCCTGGACAGCTAGTAATGCCACCCACAAGATTGTAAACTTTTAACATTATTTATACATAGGTATACTTTAGCTATACTATATGTTTTACATATGGACCAAGAAAATTCCTCTTCACTCATTGCAGTCCAGGCAAGGGTAAAGGTTGACCATGCCTGCTTTAACCAGTGATCACTATTTTATCCATAAACCAGAGGTGGGTTCCTACCAGTTCGCACCTATTCGGTAGAACCGGTTCGTCAGTCTACCAAACCGGTTAGAAGAGGTTCCACCAGTGGACCCAGAAAGCACCTACAAAAGAGGTTCCAATTTTTTTTGAAACCCACCTCTGGTCCTTGGATATGATTATTCTACACTATCATGCTCATATTTATAAAACTCAGTGCCTCTGTGAAAGGTAAGGATGACTACTGCGTTTGTGGTGTAATCAGAACATTGCGTGTGTTGAAGTTGTTTTAACGCAAACCAAAGATGCCTTTTAAAAAACAAGTTTACATCATATTCTTATGTATGCCAGTGCTTTGTGTGAGGTAATTTAAGGTGGTTCTGACAAGTGTCATCGGCATCTTCATATCCAGTCACATGGGCAGCAAGCCACTCCCACTGGTCACATGGGCAGCAAGCCACTCCCACAAAGGAGGCCACACCCACAGAGTAGGTTCGAACAATTTTTGAAACCCACCACTGCCATAAGCCAATATCTGAAGTTAACTTTTTCCAAAAAAGTTGAGCTGAATCCAAGCTGCAATTCTAGATATGTTTGTCTGGCATTTAACCTCATCAAACTTCCTTTAGTTTTCTTCTGAATGGCTATTGACAGGTTTGACTGACTGTAAGTAGGCCATCATTACCGTAGTTCTCCTTCAAATCAGAAAACCTCAAGTTCTTCTTAACTGCTTTTAACACTGACTTTTAATTAATTAATTAACTAACTAATTAATATAAACTTTGTGAGCAAGTGCAAAAATGTTTTTAAAGAAACAAGGCATGACTTCTGTGGATCTTGGAAGTAGCAGATGTTCTCCAGACGTTTGCTGACGATAAGCGTTTTGGCACGGATATGGCTATAGCTTTTTCTGTGCTACAAATTGTACAAATTGATATATAAGACCCAATGAGTACCTCAGAAATAGAACTTGGTTTTTGTGCCTTCACTTGTGTATGGACCATGAACATGAATTATATCCAGTTGTCTAAAGACAGATTTATATAATGCATTCAGAAGCATAGGCAGAAATATGTTTACTCACCACACCATATGAATATGTATCACATGTTTCTGATATTGGGAGACTCTGTATTACTTCTGGAGCCATCCAAGGAAAAGTACCAACCAGGGACATGTGTGTTGTATGGGAATGAAATCTTGAAGCCCCAAAATCACAAATCTGGAAAAAAAAATAGAGGTTTTTTTTTTAAAAAAAAAACAATAGCACAACAATTTTTTTATAAAAAGACTGAAATATTCCTACCTTCAATACTCCATCACCAGCTATAACAACTGAAAAAAATTTTAAAAGAGAAAAATATATTAATACTATGAAGAAACCATAGGCATTTCTTTAGAAAAAAACCACTCCATATATATTATAAGTATATATATACTGGCAAGACCACTTAAATCCTCTGGCTGACATGAATCAAAAACTAGTTGGCTTTATTATTGACTTGATTCTCTCTATGCAGGATCATGGCAGATAAATCACCAATAATGTCAAGTTAATGAGTTATGGCAATGGAGCCGAAAAATGTATTATTAACAATTACTGGAAAATAATTTAAAACTAAAGTCATACTTTATAATGCAGTCACATATATCTTTAAAATAGGCAACAAAAATATCAGAGACAATTGTAAATTTTCCCAATCTTCTGAAACAAAAGGAATAAAAAAAACAAAACAAAGGAAGTTCCCTTATCAGTGAGAATGGAGGCATATAAATATAATAAATAAAAAATATGAAAATAAAGGGTTTGGGGGAAACTGAAATGTATGCAATAGTTATTTTTAGCACATTTAGCCAATATAAAGATGATACGGTGTGTGTGTGTGTGTGTGTGTGCGCGTGTGCATGGATAGATAGATAGATAGATAGATAGATAGATAGATAGATAGATAGATAGATAGATAGATATACCCTGTTTATTTTAG